CCCCAAAACCCCAAAACCCCAAAACCCCAAAACCCCTTAAATATCCTCAAGAATTGAACTTAATTTTTCATTTTCCTTCTATAAGCTTCTATACCGAAATTGACACAAACGACTTACGGAGGATATCCTGGGCAGTAAGGCAGTCTTCAACTTTCGCATTGATCTTCCTGAGCTTGGATCGTTTAGACAATTTGATCTTCTCATAAACCTGGTAGGCTTCTTTATGGCTCTTCATAGCAACATCTTTAGCTTTCTGATACTCAATAGAGTCCAGATGAATACTTTTAGAGTTCCTAGCTGCTCTAGATGGATCTGTATTAAGAGACAGCTTTTTATTGTACCCATTCAAGAACCCATTCAGGCTGTAAAGCTCAAGATTAGACTCAGATAAGATCTGTAGCTTCCTCCCAGGAGATAGATGATCTATACTCTGGCTATAGTAATGATTTGTTAAATTTACACTTGGGATTTCTTCTCTTCTCTTTGCTTGCTCACTCTCTTTCTAATCTTTGATATACTAAATTTGTTCGAATACAGATCAGTAGTTTTGTTTAACACAGACAAAAGTTCTTTATTACGCTCTGTAGGGTTACGATAAATATTACCTTGTAACTCTCGTTTAGACATTCTATTTTGAAGCTCTCTAATGTATTTCATCGTATCTTTCTGCTCATGATGTTGAATTTGCTTTCGAAGAGATCTAGAAGGTGAGAAGTAAAGATACAATTCAGATAGAACTGTGCTCTGAGTATCATCAATACTCTCATTATCTTCTGTAATTCTAGAATTCTCTTCCAAACTAGACCCCGCTTGGGATCTGGAAAGATTATGGTGTTTCAAAGTGACCAATCGCTTAATTCCAATTTTAGAATTCTGGCTATCTCACTCTACATCATCCATGCCCCCATGCAAAGAATTTCCTAAATCCATAAATTTAGCACCTACTATTGCTTCTATTCTTAAACATCTGCTCAAAGGTTCTCATCGAAGCTCTTTTACAATGTCTCTGGAAGCCGTTTACGGCTTCCTGAAAATTCCCAAACCTGCTTTTAGTTTTGCTCTGCAAGAACTTTTGCAGACTTTTACTCGGAATATTCTTCTCCGCATCAATATTATCTCGAATACTTTTGACTTTATTAAGAAAGCTGACTTTGACAAAATGAGGAATGTTCTTCAACTCTGGATTCGAAGGTGCCACAGGCACCTTCTTCGGAATCTCAGGGTTTAATAAGGTCTCCATTATTTTCCTCTTCACGTTTGGAAATATATTCAAAGTGTTCTTCTGAGGTGACTTTGACTTTTTATCGAATATACTGTGAGCAGAGATATTATTCTATATGATCATAAAAACAGTTAAAATTAAATACATAATAAAAATCCCTAACATTAAATACAGCTAAACTATTAGCATCCTATTATACCCCCAAATTAGAACTTTTTCCCCCACTAAAATTTCAAAATCTCTTATCTAAACTCGCTCCACTCCAGCTCGTAACAAATATTCTAAAAATTTGTTAAAAATTAACTTTTGTTACTAAATTTTACTAACAAAAACTGGGAAGGCCATATGTAATATGAGATTCTTTAGTAGGGATTTTAAGTCAAAAATACTCTTTTAGTGGTCATTTACAGTAATATTTTGAATATCTGGAAGGATTAAGGTGAATTACTCTGTTTAGACTTCCTATTGTGGTCACTAGGCTTGTTAGGATTTATAAGTGATCTGTTGGGCTGGTGTCTTTGGGATTTCCTGGGGTTTATGAATTTTGACCTATTTCCTGCGAGTGAGGGGGGATGTACCTTTGTTTACTGTTGATAAGTGTTCTTTGAGAGTGTTTAGCGGGTTTGAAGTTTCGTTCTCCTGAATCTAAGGGATTGAAATTTCTGGCGGTGTTGTTGAAACTTGAAACTTGTTCTAAATGGGTAGGTAAAATCTAATTTTTGATGCTTTAGTACTTTTAAAAGCAGTGCTTTGCATAAAATTTTTCCTATCACGGCGTCCTCCAATAGTACGCTTCAAAGAGATAGCTCTAGCTGTATTGCTCATATACTAAAATTATCAATTTTTATAATTATTTATGGGGTTTTGGGGTTTTGGGGTTTTGGGGTTTTGGGG